TAACATTTAATATTTTATTAGAATAAAAATAAAATAACTAATTTAGATGAGAGGGAGTGTTTATTAATGTCTAAATTGGACATGCAATTAACCTTAAAAAAAAAAAAAAATACTAACTCATTTTTTCTTTGGAAGATAAAAGTAAAACTAAAATTTAATATTTTATTAGAATAAAAATAAAATAACTAAATCAAACCATTCTGTTTTTTTTTTTTAGAAAGTGAGGCCACCAAATCAGATTGGAGGGAGTACAAAATGCTATCCTATTCCTAAGCATTTTTACAATCTTTGTTTTAGTTATAAAAAATAAAAAATCTATAAATAATTTTACCATTTTTGTTTTAGTTATAAAAGATAAAAAAAATCTATAAAAATAATATAAAATTCTATCCTAAACATTTTTTCCATTTTTGTTTTAGTTATACAAGATAAAGAATCTATAAAATAACATAAAGTGCCACCGTAAACATTTTTACCATTTTTGTTTTAATTATAAAAGAGAAAAAATATGTAAATAATATAAAATCTATCCTAAGTTTGTTTCCATTTTTGTTTTAGTTATAAAAGATAAAAATCTATAAATAATATAAAATGTTAACCTATATTATAAAATGATAATATTATAATTATAATATTATGTAAAATTATAAATTTATAATTTTAATATAATATTAAATAAGTGTAACGTATGTATTATTGCTAAAGGGCTAGGCACCTTTGGGCAGTAGGCATCCACGTAGAGGCTAGGCAGTGCTTAGACCGTCTTGGTAGTTTGTGTGCCACTTTTTTTAAAAAGAGTTTGAAAAATTCAAAAAATTTAAGAAAATAAAAAAATATTTAAAAGTCTAAAACTAATTAATCAACAAAACTTAATAAAAGTCTAAAATCAATATAATTGAAATCAATTAATTAAAGTAAAAGAGAAGAAGAATCGTAGAAAATCCTAAATGATTGTCATTTAGAGTTTTTCGCTTTTTGTTGACTCTTAAAAATCAACCTATGATATTTGTTCTTCGTTTATGTAATTACAAAATCTTGTAAAATTAAATAATGTATATTAATTTATAAAATAATAAATTTTAAAAAAAATAAAAATAATCTCTAATTTAGAGTGCTACAATACACTTTCTCAAACTTTAAGTAGTAATTCATTTATTCACTAATTTTACACTCAGCATTTACATAAAATTTCAACTTTTTCTCTCTCACCATATATATATATGTCCAATTCTATGCTTTGTTAAATTTTCATCTAACCCTTTTGTTTTAGAAGTCAAAAACTAAAACTAGAACCATATTGTTGATAAATTAATCAATTCGATTCAATTAACACTAACATAATTAAGAAGCAAACTGATAAAAAGGAGCAGAAAGAATAAATGGGGAAGTAATTTAAAATCGAAAGAGGCATGCAAGATTACCAACGGCCAATTATATGCAAATAAGCAGCATTATGCTTCAGAAAACAATGATGGCAATGAACTATAAAGTTTCAGATAATTGGATCAACTGTTATTTTTTCCTTTCAACCCCTCTTTCTCGTTGTGTCAATAAACAAGCAACTTATAAATCCAGTCTCGTTTTCACGCATTTCAAATCATTCATCTGATTTGCAATGGTCTGCTTATTTGCCAGGGCCTGTAATAGCAATTTCAGTTGCTCTGGTGATTTCAGATGCCGCTGCTGCATGTTGGAAGACTGAAGGGGATCAATGTTTGCCTTTGATATAGTTACTTAACTTTGCAATGGACAGGTGTTTCTCTTTGCTAGTTGGCTCGCCTTGCAGCATGCTTAGTGCATTGCCTTGCCCTGATTCTAAACCCATGTTGGAACAGGGCTGCTGCTGCTTATCCAACATTTCCTGCATTGCCAAAGCTACAAAGAAAAGAAGACAGAATTACATTGCAAACGTGTCACATTGTTCTGTGGATTGCTGGCACAGTACCTAGCAGGTCAATGAGATTATAAAAGAGTAGTGATTTACCAATGTCTGAGCTCCAAGTAGGTGCTCAACCCTCCAGAAAAAGCCTCACTAGCAGCACCATCTGAATCAGAGCAAGCTTTGGTTCAGCATCAACCTTTGAGTGGATGCACTCGCCTTGAAATTTAAAACAATCCATCGTCAGATCCCATTAAAATCCTGAATACCCAATTGGAGAAATGATTATCTTTATAGGCCTACCACAACATCTAGAATGACCAGATAAGTCAGGCTGGCAAACCAGTTTCACCTTTCAATTTCAATCAAGCTAGAGAATCCAAGAACATCTCTGGATAACCATGGTGCAACTCAGAACTGTTGTACCAACAAGCACAATGTCTACCTAGTAGGTATACACAGACATGTAATCAAAATATGAGCAAACACAATAAGGCACATTGAAATACACTCATCAATGTAGAAAGCAACTGACAACATTGGTGTACCTTGCATCCAAAACTTCCTTCAACATCCTGTCATGTCTGATTTTGAATAGGCTATGTTATCTGTCTTTGCAGAGTACTAAATGAGAAAATATTGTAATAGGGATTGGGGAACAACACATCCCAAAAAAAAACAAAGACAAAAGTGAAATACCGATCAAAGTGAGCATCAAGAGTATACCTGGCATAAGTGGCATTGAAAAGGACAACAGATTGATTCCTGGCTCCAAAAATCTTGTATAATTCCACCCTCCAGGTCAAAATTTCCCCATTTTTATAATTAAGAGAAGAAAAGCATCCTAATTACACATAAAGAGGCCTTTGAGAACCAACCAGTACAGATAGCCTTAGCCAGAGGGCTCAGCCATAAAGGTTGGCCCTGCACTTGTCAATAGCTGCCTGAACTTTTTTAGGTTTGCTTAGCTCTTGAATAACTCTTGCCCAAGTAGATGCTTTTGGATGCAAGAACTTCTGCAGCATCACCTCTACAATTTTGGAAGCGCCTGAAACTCTTTGCCTCTTAACTAGTCGGGTGACCATCTCATCTAAAAAGTCAGTTCCATCTTGTGGTGGGTCTATTTTCTCACTCAAAGTTCTCAAAAAGATATTGCATGTAACTAAGTCTGGATCACAGCCATGATCAAGCATTCTATTTAAGAGATCAATGGCTTGGGAAACACTACTCTGGTTGCACAAAGCATGAAAGAGTATGTTGTAAGTGACCACATCTGGTTGAGATTCAGGCTCCTGGCAGAGCATCTCATTGAAAACTTTCAAAGCCTCTTCTACTAAGCCAGTGCTGCAAAGGCCCTGAATCATTGAACTGTAAGCCACAACATCAGGTTTAATACCTCTGCCTAACATTTGCGTCCACACCATTCTAGCCTCCTTGAGGTTCCTAGCCTCACATAGGCCATGGAGAAGAACACTATAAGAAACCTTACTGGGAAAACATTGATTTTCAGCCATGTCTTTCCACACTTGAATTGCCATATGGCTATCGCCAGTCTTGAAGAATCCCTTCATCAAGGAGCTATAGGAATAAGCATTAGGCACACAACCATTATCTATCATCTCAGAAAGAACTTCTCTGGCTTCAGTTGGCTTTCCTTCTCGACACAAACCATCTATAAGAGCACTATAAACTACAGTGTTAGGTTTACATCCTTTTTCCATCATTTCCTTCCACAACTTCATAGCATCCATAGACTTACCTTCCTTGAACAACCCACTAATTAGGGCTGAATATACATATTCATTAGCATGATACCCTTGTTCCTCCATAGAAACCAACACACATGCTGCATCCTCAACTCTATCTTGCTTAACAAGCCCATTAATGATTGTTCCAAATGTGACATCATTAGGAATGCATTTAACCGATACCATGCGTTCCAAAAGACTAACTGCCTTATCCAACTTCCCAGTTAGACACAGACCATGAATAAGCGTGTTATAAGTTGCTTCATTAGGCACACAACCTTTAAGAAACATATTGTCAACGAGCTTGGCTGCACGACCCATGTCCCCCTTCTTACACAGACCATTAATCAACACATTAAATGTAACCGCAGTGGGAAAACAGCCCTCTAATTGCATCTCATCCAACAAAGAAACGGCCTCATCTATCCTACCCTCCTTACACAAACCATCCATCAATGTACTGTAAGTATACACATCAGGCACACATTTTCTCAGTGGCATTTCTCTAAACACCTCAACCGCATCATCAACCAATCCCAACTTACACATAGCTTTAATAACTAAATTAAAACTTAAGACATTGGGTTGAACACTCTTACTCTTAGAATTAACAACTCCATTATAAAACTCCAATGCACGGTTATAAAAACCCTCCTGTATAATCACATTTAGAACTGAATTAAAGGATTTAACGGTACGTTTGCATTGAAATTCCTGAACCATTCTCTCAAACAATTCCACAGCCTTTTCGGGTAAATGAGCCTTGCCATAGGCCTTAAAAATGAGAATGAAACTCTTCTCTGCAAAAACCCTGTCTTCCTGCCTCATTCGATGCAGAACCTTCTCCAGAGATGCAAAATCGCCCTTGCCTGCATAATTATCTAAAAGAGAATAGAAAGTGGAATCGCCCAACTTGTAAGAACCTGACTTGGAAGGCGACCTGAAGATTTGATCGGAAATTGGGGGCTCGGATTCTTCGGCATCTTCGGCGTCAACTTCAATGGTTTTGCTTGAAAGATTTGAAAAGTGAGAGTGAAGCTGAAGTGAGGGGACTGAAGGGAGGCGCTTGCGGAGTGTGGCGGTGAGGTAAAGGAAGTGTCTTTGCATGGATTCAAAGATGAGGGGTGTTGGGGTTTAGAACTAGGGTTGATGGGAGAGGAGAGAGGACCAACTTCACCCAACTTCTTTAACAAACACTTAGCGACCCTTTTTTTTTTT